AATTTAGATTGCAGAGAGTTTGTTCTGAGCGCTAAAGGCACTCACGATAGAGCACATTTTGCTTTATTCTAACACCACTCCTGTTTGAAGGCCATTGTCTTGGTTTCTTTGGAACCTGAGAAAGGTTCAGCCCAGACATTGCAGCTTGCGCATATATTTGCCCAGATTGAGTGACTTTTGCTACTTGAGGCGTTTCAGGCTCAAATACAATCTCTTCTTCTGGCGGTTCTTGTAGATCCTCCAGATCAGTACTAATGACAGAGTTCTAATAGGAACGGGACTTGTGACTCAACCTATAGGATTCCCAGGTTGAAGTGATATTCCGAAAAAACCAAAAAGCAAAAACAACACGCACATCCAGGTTCCAAGACATCACCTCTAGTACTTCTCCTACACGGAGCAGCCATAGCAACGCTGGAAAAGAGGTTGTTTTCAACTGGAAAACCAAGGATCAAGATGAGCAAAAGAAAGACAGGCAAGGTCCCCATAGCACAAACAGTATCGGAAAATGATTCATATTATGCTCCTGTAAGCCTTGTCCAAAAAGAACGGGGAAAAGTGGCCAAAATCTGCCCATTTGATGCCTCTGCCTTTTTGGGCCTTTTGGACGACGATGACAGCAACAAAATTGCTGATGACGAGGAGGATAACGTCAAGATTCTTCATGGTCAGAAAGCAAACCGGGATATCTATTATTTCAGAAGTCATTTTGTCCAAAAAGAACAAGAAAAAATGGTCCAATCTTGCCCATTCTTTGCACCCTTTTTGGGCATTCCTGATGATTCTGGCGGTGCCATCAAATCAGTTTCCGATGATGAGGAAGACAAGGCCATCCGAAATGTCTCCAGCGCCCGAGCACCATCTCCAATGGACCTCCAAGATGCTGTAGAGGATAAACCTTTCCAGCACTATGCTGTCAAATTTGAAAGGTCTCTCAAGCAAACCTATTGCAACAATCCAACCCTTGGCGACCTACTATTGCAAGGAAATTGCTATCTCTTCCATCAGCCTTCTGTCGATTGGTAGATGCCTCAATTTGATTTCCCTTTATGGATGTTCAAATGTTGGCATCATTCCCACGGACAGCTAGGCACAACACCACTGATCTGCAGCCTCACCATGCCAAGATACAAACTACTGGCTCTGACCCTCTTTGCTTCTCCTTAGACTACGACCAGCCACCTTTTTGATGCTTGCACCAACCTCAATGTTCTGGAACACTGTGCCAATGGGACGCTCTCCATTCATTTGGATCGATATATTTAGGGTAGAAGGGAGCAAGAACATAAGGTTAAATAAAGCTTCAATACAGGCAAGTACAACAAAAGAAAAAACACAGAAAACAAAATAAAAATATGCTGCCTCGAGTGGCAAGATCGTCTCTCTACATGTGCAAGGGTGCAATGTAATATGCAATAGAGCAACTTCCTTGGGATTGGATGCCTCAAACTGGTTCAACAGTACTGGACTCACCTCCGTATGGTAAATGACCATGACAGCCGTTGACAGCAATCTAGAAACTTCAGATAGTTTTAACATGATTAATGCATCAGATTTATTACTATATGATTAGTGTAGGCTGTGCGCCGCACGCATCACATGTGCGCAAACTGTTACACACCATTAATTTAGCATAGAAAAGAATTGAGTCAGCAGTTCTCTAACAAATCATAGGATTTGCATGGAAAAGTGATGGACCATCGCTTTTCTCACTGCATGCTTTTTACCTGAATTGATATCCATCATCTTGTAGAAACTAGTCAACTATAGGCTTATAGTCTATATTCATTTATTTCTGTCAGATTAAACCTGATGAACTTTGCCATTGAAAAGAAGCCTGGAGACTTCCGCCTATCTAAAATGCGCACCATCCAACTGATGAACTCCGAGGCCCAGGCAAATAATAAGTAGGCAGGCCGTGCAGCCATGCACTTTGCCAAAACGCACTCCTTGATACCCGACAGGCAATGTGGCTCACGTAAACGTCATCAAGCAATTGACCTGGCCTTGTCTAAATGACTAGTGTGGGATCTACTGATCCTTCAACGCCGCGCGGCTGGATGGATCTTGAACGACGCTAAGTCCTGTTTTGACCATGTTGTCCACTGGGTGGCCATCATTACAATGCTGCAATTTGGCTTGACAAGGCAAGTCCTATCATCTATATTCAACATGCTCTCCTCCGCTACCCATCGTGTTTACACAGGTTTTGGTGACTCCAAGCACAGGTTCCGTCCGCCTTCAGCTGTCCCATTCCAAGGGTGTGGCCAAGGCAATGGTGCCGGACCTCCTATTTGGATCTTAGTGAGCTCGGTGTTAATCACAATGATGGAAGCTATGGGCTATGGATTTGAGTGTCTTTGGGCGTTAGACTCACAACTAGTGACAGCCCAATGCTTCTGTTTTGTTGACGATACGGACATGATTGAAGCGGGTGGCACAGTGCATCACTCTGGTGAAGATATCTGCGCCTCCGTTCAGGCTGCTGCCACCTTATGGTTGGGGGGAATCCGGGCCATAGATGGGGCAATCAATCCGGAGAAGTCCTTCTGGTGGCTTATTGACTTCAAATGGGATGCTCACAATGGTCAAGTGGAGATTCCATAGGAAACGCTTTGCTGCACCGGAATTTGAACTGCAGATCCCCAGGTTATCCGGGGATATCAAATCCCTTCGCCGCCTAGAACCAGATGATTCTGAACATACTCTGGGGGTGACGTTGTCGCCACTTGAAAATCACAAGGCACAGGAGGCACAGCTGATCTCTAAAGCTAAAGAGTGGGCCAAACAGCTTCGACCTCACCTGCTGCACAAGTATGACATGTTACCACTGATCCGGACTACAATCATGAAGAAACTGGAGTATCCTATGGCACTAACTACCCTTCCAGCTCAACAATGGCAGGACATTAAGTCAGGTGTTTGCCGCAACTTTCCCCGTTCGGTGGTCTTTGCCCCCTTGAATTATCAAGGCCTTGGAGTTCCTCACCTGTTTGGCAAGCAAGTGTACAAACATTTGGAGATGATTTTGCGCCATATGTCGGGGGGTACAAAGACTGGAGCCTACATGGACGCCAATCTCCAGGCTCACCAACTGGAAACTGGTACTTCCTTTGGTCTTCTACAGCAAGATTACCAGAACACATCCATTCTGGCCTCCGATACCTGGCTGAAACGGGTATGGAAGGAACTTGAGTCACTGGATATGTATGTGGCCTTTGACTCTCCGGCCTTGTTGTCCCTACGATGTCATCATGACGCCCTCCTGATTGACTTGTTCATTGACCTTGAGGTTGATCAGGACAAACTTCTCTGGCTAACTGGTGCCGGATGTTCCAGCAGCTAACCACTGTGTCCGATATCACCACTGCTGATGGCCGCTATATCCGCCGATGCATCTGGAACGGTTTCCGCGATGAAACTTCTCGGACCCCTTATACTGGCCTCAAACTGACGCCCTGGGCGTACACATTGGGAACTCTGGCAAAGAACACTGTCCCGCGCTCTCTTGCCTTCACACGGTCAGCATCAGCACCCTCTTCTCCAACCCCTGGGACACTGGCATGACCAATTAGAGGCTTGGAACTGGCTCTGGTCCCCGACCGTTGGCTTGTTCCATCGGAGTGGGGCTGCATGGACTCATCTTGCCCTCATAGGTTCCTCTAATACTTCTTGGCGGTACGCTCCATCTGACAACCACAATGTGACGAACAGTCTACCACGACCAAGTTCTTGGTGGACTGACCCTTTGCCTACTGACGTCCTATGTGCCACAGTGAGGCCTGTCTCCGGTTCCAAATTGGTACTTCCTACCGGCACTGGTCTCTCCATCTCGCCTTCCTCCGACCCGGCCCCCTCTATCCTTAGGGCCTGGCAAGCCTCTGCTGATCTCTGCACAGACTACTATGGGTGGGTCCCCAATGAGATTGAGGTACATGGTGATGAGGCTGCATTGGTCGATGCCTTGATTCAGGGTCGCCTCAGAATTATCAGTGATGGGTCATACAAAAATGACCTCGGAACCGCTGCTATTCAGCTCCTTACCAAAGGGGGAACTGATCGCATTGTTATCCGGTGTCAAACTCCAGGTTTACCTCAGGATCAGAGTGCCTATCGTAACAAGTTGATTGGTCTTCTGTCTGGGATTATGGCGGTCGATTGGCTCCTCCAACAATGGTTCCCAGCCCTTACTCAGCGGCCTTGTGTCAAGATTGCCTGTGATGGTCTTTCGGCCATTGAAATGGCCTTTGAAGATCGACCCCTCTCACCCACTGATGCGCAATTTGACCTGGTCTCTTCCATCTGGGAAGCCGTCTCTTGGTCTTCAGTGTCTTGGTCTCCGCGGCATGTCTACGGACATTTGGACAAGTCCAACTTATTCGATGAACTCACCTGGTGGGAAAAGAAAAACCTGGAAGTAGACGGTATGGCAGTGGATTTCGGCAAGGAACTCGAGGCAGCCCACCAACTCATTCCTCCCAATCCTCGGTTCTTCACAGAAGTGGCGGCTCTTCTTGTGGCTGACACAAAGCAGTCTCGGTTGAGTGACCAATTCATTCAGGAATGCGGGACACTTCCCCGCCTGCGGCACCAATGGAGGAACCATCGTGTGATCTCTGAGGAGGCTGAAAACCTCATTGGTTGGGAGACACTGGGTTGCGCTATGCAGTCACTACCTGCCGGACTCCAGCGCTGGATTACAAAACATTGGGTGGGCATGTGTGGCACCGGCAAGTTCAAAGTGTACTGAGGCCTCAAATCATTCGCTGCATGTCCTCGGTGCGGAGAGTTTGAAGATCACTTGCATGTTCCACAGTGTCCAGCAGCGTCGGCCAGGGACAAATAGGATCGGAGGGTGACCGCTCTCTCGCTCTGGATGGATATGCATCCTACCTCACCTGCCATTAAACATGTGATACTCCTTCTTCTTCAGAGTGCCCGCGATCTATCACGACATACCTCTCGTTTGATCTCTCGGACCATTCGCCCCGCCTTTCTGGCCCAGGACGCTATTGGGTGTCAGGGACTTTTGGAAGGAAGGCTAGCCTCATTGTGGCTGTCACTACAACAAAATTATTTTGATGAGATTCACAGTTGTTGGTCGGTTTCTCTGTGGGCTTCCCGTCTCTCCCAGCAACTCATCTCCCTTTGGTTCTATATGTGGGAACAACGGAACGCCGTTCAACATTCGGATGACAATGTTCAGCTCCATGAACGTCACTGTGCTGTCAACAAGGGGATTCACACTCAGTTTGATATGGGTTCAGTTGATTTACCTCTGGATATTAGACGCATGCTGACATGCCGTCACAGTGTCCTTCGTAAATCACTGGTGGACAAGGAAGAGTGGCTGAAGCTACTTTGACAGAAGCGCAAGGCCTATTGTCGCTCTCTGCGGGCTCAACGCCGTAGCCTCCGGACTATCTTTTCTGCCTCACCTCCTGAACGCTTCCCAACGTTTGTGGGACGATAAGTGCCCCAAATTCACCCCGCCTTGCCGCGGGAGAAGTCATTCGTAATACATGACTTATATTCCGAAAAAACACACAATTAAAAACCACACGCAAATCCGGCTTCCAAAACAGCACCTCTAGTACTTCTCCTACACGGAGCGGCCGTAGCGACGCCGAAAAAGAGGTTGTTTTCAACTGGAAAACAAAGGACCAAGATGAGCAAAAGAAAGACAGGCAAGGGCCCCAGG